TAAGGGAGAGCAAAGCATCAAAACAAAACTCATTTCCAGCCTTCAGAATACATATAAGTGGTTTTAGAAAGGGTTGGAATGAAATACTTCAATAACATGCAAGCCTTTCTCTCTGAAGAGTTTCACATCAATATCTTTGTGGAAACAAACATTTTCCTGATTTCAACAGGCCAGTGCTTCTCCTCAAAACACCTTTCAAGGCTCTCACCTAATTCAGAATGTTACACAGACACAACTCCAGAAATTCTATCACTTTCTTTAGGCTTTTAAACTTTCCTAAAACAAAGGCACGAGTTTCTGTTCCATTTTCTGGGACAGAAAGACCCGGGGAAAAATTGTAATTGTTTAACATTCAGTGGAGTATTGCAGCAAAGGGTGAAACACAAACCTTTACTCTCAGGTTCTCCAAACCACTACAATTTACAGCTGGGGTCCAGAAGAGAGCACCTGACATTTCCTCAGGGTCCTCACCAGGCACAGGGGATGGGCACAGGCAAAAAGCTCCATGCAGTTGGAATCTTGCTTTGAAATCCATGACCCTTTTGGGAGGTTGAACATTTATTGTTCAAACCCCACCAGCAGAAGGAGGGCAACCAGCTGCACCCTCATTTCCCTCCCAGTGCACTTCTAAGAATCCCAGTGGGTAACAGAAATTTTGCTTTATTACAGCCCCTCTCTGTATGGATTAATGCTCTCACTGCAGCTTTCCAGCACAGCACTGCTCAAGTAATAGACTGTAATATCCCTGACATTCAGGATGAAAAAAAACAGAATACAATTAAAACCAGAATACATAATATTCACTGAAATAAAACAGATTTCCAATCAATTAAAACAGACTCTCCTTCCAATAGCACCAGACAAATAATACATTTACAAAACTAATCGGTTCTACACAAGCTGAGCTAATGAGTGTCATTTGGGTCACATCCTCAAATTGCAAATAAATGTTATCATTTATCAACCTAACACATTACTCAATAAATCTTCTGCACCACTGTTCATACTTATCAGCTGTGTCATTTAATATTCCTTTCTGGTTTAGAAAACTATTTCCTCTGGTTCCTGACCCTTTGTAATGAAAAACTCCTGGAAACAGACAGTAGCTAATTCAAGAATCATATAATTTGGAGCTAAACAGAGCTGTGGCTGGTGTTGAAATCCTCTAATATTAATTTTTCAATGGGTCTCCTCCCAGGCTGGAAATACTACGAGCTGTTGAGATGAAATTTTCATTTAAGGAAGGTCAGACTGCAGTCAATGCCATAAGAGGTTTTACAGTCTATAAAAGCATGAAAATTATTTTCTGTTTTTTCATTTATGCAAGAGCAATTTGGACTCTCCCAGTCTGAGGTATAAACTCTCTCCATCTCAGCCACCCCATGCACAGCACACCACCACACTGCAGATTGGTGATTCTGGTGATTCCAGCATTCCCCCATCCCTGCTGGGATGGAAAGGAGAAAGGGGGAAGCTTCCAAACACTGCTCACCAACATCCCTCCATCCCTCCCTGGCAGCCATGGGGCAAACAGGTCTTGTCAGCCCATGGGTGATATCTGGGGGTCCTTTCCTTTGTCCCAAGCTGCTTCTGGCAGGGCTCACTGCAGGCTCACACAGAGAGGCCCCTTTCCCCAACACATCCATTCCAGAGCTGAATGACTCAGATTCATCTTCTTCACTGCCAGCACATGAAGCACAGGGGGACACATCTGAGAGGGACATCCTGAGAGTGCCCTTCTCCAGGAGTGTGCCTGTGTGCCTGCAGAGCATGTTCTGAGTGACTGCCAAACACTAAAGGAGCCATGAGCAGCAGTGTCCTCTTGGTGCCCCTGCTTTACAACCACAGCACAGCTGGACACATTCCACAGCTCCACATTTCCTCACCAGCAGTGCTTGGGGTAGTAAATGATCTGTTTGATGTCCATAGCTGAACTGGACATGCTGGTGGTCAGCTGGCTCAGGTTGTTGTGTGGATCCAACTCACTCCTCATTTTCAGTTCTCTTTTTCCTGACTCCTGTTTCCTGCTATTTCCTCCATCTCCTGCTGTCACCGACATCTTTTATGAAAAATCCTTTCCTTAGGTTTTTCTTCTCCTGAGAAGCTGAGAAGCCTCAAAAACAAAATGTAAACATTGATTATCTGCTGCTGTGGAATGCGACAGGTGCATCTGTGATTGGTCTCATGTGGTTGTTTCTGATTAATGGCCAATCACAGTCAGCTGGCTCAGACTCTGTCTGAGACAGAAGCTTTTGTTACCATTCCTTTGTCTATTCTTAGCTAGCCTTCTGATGAAATCCTTTCTTCTATTCTTTTAGTATAGTTTTAATATAATATATATCATAAAATAATAAATCAGCCTTCTGAAACATGGAGTCAGATCCTCATCTCTTCCCTCATCCTGGGACCCCTGTGAACACCGTCATATCCTGCCCCCCTGCTGTTCAGAGAAGTGCCCTTGCATTGATTCCAGTCCCCCTTTAGCACCATCAACGCTCCTATCCCATCATCTTTATGGCTTCTAATGTTCTCATCATCTTCCTTACCTTTACTTTCAGCTCACATCCCACCCATTTCCATTTCCCAATGGACCACAGTCCATTTCCTATCACCTCCTTTGGTCCCTCTCCTTCCTTTCCCTCCTTTTCACCCTCCTCTGTCCTTACCTTTCATCATTTGAGCCAGGTATGTTTTGCAATCCTCTGCCTGCCTCTGCACGGCTAAAAGCAAGGATGAGACAGCATTTTGTTGTCAGCTCGAGCCTGGCTGTGACAGAAACCCTCAAATGCAGAGAAATTTGACTGCTCCAGCAGCTGGAGACCCAAATAGAATCAAAGAATACTTTGAGTTGGAAGGGACCTTAAAGATCATGGGGTTCCAAACCCATGCTCTACCTTCCACTAGAAATATGGGCAGGCTGTGACCTCTGAGTAGGAGCAGTGCAAGTATGGACTGTGCAAAGCTGGGACACACACAGAGGTGGGCAAAGATTTCCCCTTTAGGGAAGCTGTGGTTGCAAAGTCAGCAAAAAGCACCCCTGGTAGAAGAGGATCTGCTGACAAATAACAAGCTCTCATAGCAGGAGATCAAATCAAAGTAATGTGGCTTAAATTGTGTTGCCAGAAGCAAACATAAGTGTGGGTGGTTATAAACAACTGAAAATTAGAGGTTGATTTTGGGAATTGTTAGACAACTTTAGCTTAAACATAGAATTCTCACTATAAATATGGCTCCCACATTGTTTATAAACAGGCTTAGATCTACTGAAATGTCCCATCACAAGGAATTCTGCATCCATCAAAAGCTGGCCACTTTTAAGTTCTACCTTATCTGAATTTCACTAAGAATGTATGGAAAAAAGCAAATCTGCCATTCTGGATTTCCATATCAACAGAACTCAGATAAATATCCCAACACCTCCACTGCTCCTTGGAGCTGTAGTTTTGATCTTACTGCTTTCAGTGAGAGCCCTGGAAACTTAACAGCTCTGGAATATCCAAACTGGTTTCTGCTGTGCAGATCTGAGGGGGAACTTTACACTTGACTGTTACATTTATTTTAATGTTTGTTTATCTAATTTAATAAACACATCAGTACTATAGATGGAATTTAGCAATGTGTAAATACCTCAAAAATAGTATGCCTAACATTTATGGTGCAGCATAGTCATAACACATCAACCACTATTAAAAACCCATTTAGCTGAATTTTAGGGTTGCACTTCACACTGCTAAATGTCTTAGATAAGTTTACCCAGCCATTTCTAATGTAACATGCAACATTAAAGTAAAGGCATTTGCAGTGCCCGTTGACCACTTTAACCAGTTTAATAAACCATGAATAATAAGGTACATGCACAGAAGTGTCAAATAAGTATAAGGTGAATTTTCATTTTTAAAATATTCATCTCCCCATCTAAAAGAAACACCTTTTTCTTTGAATGACAATGTGCTGAACTCCTGTGAGTTAAAGAGTCTCTTTGCGCTTTCAGTAAATATTTTCCTTTGTGAGCTCAGTCTGTGTGCATTGTGTGTGGGGGTGCTTCAGATGAGTATTTTCTGGCAGTATTTACATTTCTATAATCACATCACCTGTAGTGACAATGAACAATTGTTAAGTATCTTGTAGAGCTCTGTCTTGCTCAGAACTACTTCTTTCTCTTGTGCACAAAGAGATTGCTGATGCCATAACTGTGTTAGAATGTTTGCATTTAGAGCAAACTTCACGTTTGTAGTCTGGAAATGTCCTGACTGAGTCACGTTACAAAGGGGAACTTTTAGGTAGACTGGCATGGGGTGGACACATAGCCTGTTTCATCTATTTTCAGACACAGCAGTGAGACCTGAGAGCATCCACAAACCACATTCTGCTCTCTGTGCACATTGCTGCACAGAAGTAGCAAGCAGATTTTCACAGGGATGTGAACTTAATGCAAATTCCTTGCCTGTTTATTCTGTGAAGATACATTCCACACCTTTATTCCTTCACTAAACAGTCCTTCATTTAACTGCAACTTTGTGGCACATAATCATTACACCCATGCCCAAACTCCTGTCTGTGCTTTCCCTTTGTCCTCCTCCCATTCAGCAGTGTGCAAAGCCCCAGCCTTGCTCTACATCTATCATTCCTCTCCTTGCTGCAGCTCCTGTAGAACCTGGCTTGTGCGCTGAGAAAAAACCACCACCCAACCATTTAACAAGACTTTGAGCTCCAGTCATCTGGATTTACTCCGTGGATCTTGCAGCTGGTATTGATCTCAGGGAATAACTCTGAAATAGTAAGTTCTGGGAAAGTAAATAGAAACAGCCACCAGGGTTTTTCTTACCCATGCTCCCAAGTATTGAATGCTCCATTATGAAAGCCATTCTGGTTATAATTCTTCCCTTATCCCAACTTCTTTCTGCTGCTTGCTATTTTCAGTAAAACCTAATAAATAGTTTCTCTAGGGTTTTGTTTTCAAGGATACAGAATAATGGCTGTAACTTGCCTCAGGTGCCTGTTCACCATGGTTACCACGTCGAGCTTCAGAGAGCTGCAGAACTCTGGACAGAGGGACGTGGGCTGAGGGACTGAGCCCCTGGCAGGACGGGGAAGCAGCCTGGAGACTCCTAAGGTGGCAGAATGAATTACAGATTAATTGGCACTGTCTAAGCAGTGACAATCATAATTTATTTTTCAACAAGAGATGACATCAGAAGTCTTAAAAAAAAGCTCACATCATTTTAAAGCCATGCAAATTAACACAGGTATGTAATATGTCTCATCCTATGGTTATTTATAATTGCAAAACTTTCTTGACCTTTCCCTGAGATGTCAAAACTTTTTCTCTGAGCTCTGTCCTTTTTTCTTTTTGCCCTTGTTCAACAGTATGCCTAGATTTTTAAAAGATTTGTCCACAGCACTAAGCAGCAATCAAAGGATGATGAATTTTAGACTTTGATTGCATGTAAAGCAGGGAGACAACAATGCATCAATATTCTGCTGCTCTGAGCAACAACTGAAGCCTATTCTCTCACCAGCTTTATGGCTCTAGGAGTCTGACTCACAAGAAAGTATTTTATTTAGTTATTTCACAGAGCAGGTTGTGCTCTGCATAGTGCAGCGTCTGCTGACTGAGTCTTCAAGATTAGTAATTATTCTCCAAAGATGAGATTCAGAAAAGCATCACCTAATCAGTGTGCTGGCTTTATTGCACACGTTAGTTGACATTAGCAGTCTGTTTTACTCCAGGCTCTGCAGCATTCTGGACATCTTTTTACATTATTTTGCAACTACTTCAATAAAGTTTTGGTAGAAAGCTCAGGGTGTTAAGCACATGTTCAACATTAACAATAATGGCAGTCATGCACATATTGCTATCAGGACTTCATTTACTAATTACCTCCAAGGCTTTATATTCTAAACCAAATACATTAAGTGCAGCATTTGCCAGAATGCACTTGAGTTTCTTTCATTCATACTTCTGTTCCAGGCTCCAGACAGACCAAATATTCTGATCGTGTCACTCTTTGATGCTAAATTGGATACAAATGTACTTGGGTAATTAATCACACTCAGTGTTTATTGTGCATCTTTCTTATTATTATGCAAGCAGATTTCTCACAGCTTGTAGTTCATTATCAGAGTGCATGAAAACAGCTGATTACCTTTTTTCTCATATAATTACATTAACAGCAAGGCCAACTTCCTTTTTTTCCATGTATCTTTGACCATGGGAAGTATTTGGAAAAGAATCATTGGGAGAAAAGAGCAATATTTCACAGATTTGAACTACCACCAACAAAAAGAAATAGCAGAAATACCCAGCATTCCGATCCCCATAGAAAAAAATCTACAGTGCAGAAAACAATAAAAAGACTGAAGAATAAGTTTAGGTTTAGATAGATTTGGCTGAAGAAACATGTTTTTTCATGGATCTGTGGTTTCATTGTTAAATGATTAAAAAAATTAAAAAATTACCATGACCCAAGTTGCATCAGTTCATTGACTTTTACTCATCAACCCTCTGGGTCACTGGGGCTGAGATTTTTTACCTTAGGCAGGTATTCCTTTACTCTGTGTCTGTAGTCGCCAAAAATAAAGATCTTTTAGGACCCTTCTTTGGAAATGGGTGCTCATTTTCCAGCCATCCCACATCTCCCTCTCTAGTTTTGGCATTCCCACCTTGGGGAGCTGCCCAGAACTCTCTGTGCTCCCCTTGGCCAGCTGCCTGTGTGCTCGGAATGAGATGTGGACATTCAGATCTGGAGCAGCTAAAAGAGAGGATTGATCCCATTTGGATTTTACCTCAGCCTTTTAATGATGGATAGCATCTAAATAGCTTCACCTAAACTTATGCTGATGATGGACATTTTTAAAACAAAGTAAAAGTGTTATTTAGTTAACATTATTTTTATTTCTTCTTGAAAGTATATGCAATTTTTTTCATTAAGTTACAAGAAAGTGCACTATGAGATTTTAGCCTCCTTCTTCAGTTCCTGTAGTACATATTTTGCTTTGTATTGAATCTGCATTGCATTATTATTCATAATTGCCCCATTTTGTCTGATAAATTACAGGGAAATGAAGAAGAGTGACTTAAATTCTACAAGGAAATTTGTTGGAAAAAGATTAACACCATATTGACTCACCTTAGTGTTTTTTTTAAAGATGATTATTAGGGGAGAATTCATCATCTAAACTTCCCTTAAATATATCAAGCCTCAGCCTATCTCTGATATAGAAAAATACCAGTCTTTTGAAAAGTCATGGTACACATAAACCAGAGAAACCTTTGTTCAAGGTGCTCTAATTGGCCCCATCCATTTGAACAAACACAGAGCTGCTGTGTCCCAGGACAGGGGTAAAATCAGCCTTGTTCTCCCCTTGCTGCTTTTGCAGAGGTGAGCAAACAGGTCAGCAGATGGATTTTCCTCACTTCATACATCCAAGGGGAAGGGCTGCCAATCAAGGATGCAGGAGATGGATGAATGATGGCAGGGGCTGCTACAGCCAGGGCTCCTTGTGTTGGTGGGGAGACTCCTCACTCCAGTTCTGCCCACAGTGCAATTACAGATCCTCATTTTGTACCATGCACCTTCTTTTGTTTGAAGAACAGAATGATTGAGCATTAACTGTGCTTATTTGCATACGGGGATTTTACAGCACACATCACCAGCCCTGATCCCTTATGTAATTGTACCAGTCCAGCTTTTTCCTGGGGCTTTCTTCTCCTTCTCATTACGCCTTCACCAGCACTAAAATTCTCTGTGCCTGCCTCTAAATTATCTTCTGGACCCAATCAGTGTTTAGAACTTTAATCAAACTGAGTTTAGACTCTGCATCCTTTCTCATTAGTTTGGTTACACTTTAAGAACTGCAGAGACAAATAGCAGTATTTCTATTATGTTCTGGAATGATTTAATTTCTATTATACTTTGGAATCACTTCTAGGATCAAATTATCTTTCACATCTGGGTGATGCTGTTGACTTCACTGGGACTGCATGTGCAGATATGAAAACAGATTACAATGAGACCAATGGATGCTTAATAAATTAATACCTTCAGAAAATTAGCTCTCTTCTCTGATGGGATAAAGCAGTGGCACAAAATCAACCATAAACACATACTTACAACATAGAGACCTCAATTATTTTCCTAACATTTATTTTTTATTGTCTTTAAATTTACCAGGAGGGTAATTCCCTCTGGTAGCCCTTATGAAATTTCATAAACCTGTTATTTTCTTATTAATGACTTCCCTCTAGAATTTAAGGTGGAAAAAAACAGATAGGGGAAGGCAGGTCATGCACTGTACTGCTCTGGTGCCATATACATATTTAAATACTTACTGCTTACACATGTGGGTCCCACTCCAACAGCAAGTAGGGAAGATAAATTTTCAATCAGCTTCTACAGTTCCAGGGTTTCTCTCATCTGCTTTTAGACTTTTATGCTAGAGGGACTAAAAAGATCATCACTGTTAATTTCACATATTAAGCGGAGTAGCCTTTAAAATTTCTGTATGGTTCCTGTACATATTTCCTATGAATATGTACCATATTTTCACTGCTGAAATATTGGAGCTTTTTCAGATGAAAAATTGTCCATGAGATTTATTCTTGTAAACAAGAGCATTATTAGTTCCTTCTTTCATTTCTTTTCAAAAATTGGTATATGAAAAAAGAGAGAACTCTGCCCTCAGATAATTATTCAAGTAAACTGGTTTCATCTCATGTCAAAAGCAAGCCAATAACTATGGTGCAACAAGAGACATAACCTAGCATGAATAAAAGGGGGTTTAATTACTCCTATGATTATATGAGATGAAGGCAAAATCACAGGTCTCTGATGGGCAAAAGCTGTATCTCATCTTGTGATTTGTGGAAATTCAGGATGTTTCTACTTATGCTGTTTGGGGCCACTATTTTAGCTTTCAGTCTTTTCCCCCCTTTGCCTCCTCCCATTTTTACTCCTATTTTACCAAGAGCCCAAATTTAATTTCTTCAGAAAGCCAGGTAAGAGCAGCTCACCCTCTAGAAGTGTTTGAGTTCATATGCAGTGGGACATGAGATAAAATACTGTTATTCTCTCCTGGTATTCCCTGGGACTTAACGCACTCTGACAAACGTTCTCAGACCCAAATTATCCCATTTGGATTAGCAGAGCTTGCTGCATCCCAGGAGGAATGGAAGCAGCACAGACCTGTCCTCCTCCTCTTCCTGTGTAAGAAATAAACCCTGGATCAAACATCCTCAAAATCACCACCCCTGTGAAAGAACAACAGATGGACAACCACAATTGAGAATCTCTCTGGAATTCCGCTGGAACACTTAGCAGTGTTTCTTTTGTTGTTGCTGTTGCTGCTGTTGATTTATAGAACAGAGCAAGATTAAAATATATTGTCTCACTGGACAAACTGAAAATTGTAATGAGTTTCGTGGTCAGCAGTGATCATATTAGCTTTCCTTAAAACAGGATATATCCAAATTCTCATCTAATTACAAATTCAAAATGAAATAGGGGAGAGAAAGGTCACAGCATTATAGCCAGCATATTTTGTTTTCCTCTGGAAAGAGTACAAGAATAGTTTCAATGGAAGCAGTTTGTGATTATGCTTGATAATTTGTAATTAACTCTCCAGGGTGCTGGTGAGGCCTAATTAATTACTTATTGGAAAGCATTTGGAGATCTTTGGATCAACCCTGCTATAATAATGCCAGGAATTGTTGTTATTGTTATCATTAGGTGTTTTCCATCCCCAAAAGCAGTTAGGTGGAAAATGTACCTTTATTACTTTATGATGTCTTACAGGCAGGACTAATCTGCAGAGAAACAGTATTTAAAAGCTGAGAATAATTTTCTCTGCAGTGTGAGGCTGGAGATGTTTATTCTAAACCTGTGAATATAATTTATGAGTAAGGCAAACACATAAATTGCATTCAGGAGTTTCACAGTAATAACACACTTTATATTCTCCATCTGCAAATAAGCAGGTGCATCTATTTGTAGGATTTGTCTTAAGTTATGAAACTGTCTTCAGTGCTGTGAAACCAGCATATCATGAATACCTTTGTGTGTTCAGCATCCAGAATTCATTCTCAGGTTAATTGCCACCTCTGCAATTGACCCAAATTAATACAGAAATGGAGGGTCGTGAGGACATGAGGATCTCCATCCAAACCAGAAGGATACTTTGCTGCAAAACTCCAGGAAACCAGTCCATACAATATTTGTTTTTCATAGAACCTGGGTTTGCAGGGTGGGACAGACTCACGTGTAAAAAGGATGACAGATGCTGGCTTTTCTCCCAAAAAATCAGAGCAGAAAAGGACAGCTTCAAAAAACACTGTGACGGTGTTCACAGGGGTCTGAGGATGAGGGAAGAGACGAGGATCTGACTCCATGTTTCAGAAGGCTTGATTTATTATTTTATGATATATGTTATATTAAAACTATACTAAAAGAATAGAAGAAAGGATTTCATCAGAAGGCTAGCGAAGAATAGAAAAAGAAAGAATGATAACAAAGGCTTGTGTCTCAGACAGAGTGTCCAAGCCAGCTGACTGTGATTGGCCATTAATTAGAAACAACCACATGAGACCAATCACAGATGCACCTGTTGCATTCCACAGCAGCAGATAATCAATGTTTACATTTTGTTTTTGAGGCTTCTCAGCTTCTCAGGAGAAAAAATCCTAAGGAAAGGGTTTTTCAGAAAATATCAGGGCTACAAAACAGCACCTTGCAGGAGGCTTGAGCTGGAGGAAGGAACTGACTTTGGCAGCCTGTGCTGTTCAGATGGGCTCTGGAGGAGGGAGGTGAGCAATGGAACAAAAGCTGTGTGCGAGGACCCAGAAGCCTTCCAGTGTCTCCAGACAGAACTCCAAAAGTACTCAGTCTTGGTATAGAAACTGAGGAATCTGTAGAGAATTTTCTCAGAATTGTAGATATTTTTCTCCCCCCACCCCAGATCTTATGTTTTATGGTAGGTAAATCTAAAGCAAATGGTTAAATTATTTTCTGTGACTCATAGTCATAGCTGCAGGTTTATCTTCAGTACCCAACGTAGATAGTACCCTATGGAAATACCTGCAGTGAAAAAATATCTAATTGTGTTCCACTGAAGAGTCCAAAAGATAGGGAGTATTCCTGAGGTTTCCTCGCCGTGAAGAGCTAACAACCTGGGAGTCTAAAGCAGGATGCTTTGCTCTACATTGTTCAAACAAAGAGAGGCTGAAGTCTGAAGATAGTGAGTGTCTTTCAAGTACAGATCGACCCTGGAGGAACCCTGCCAGTACTGGGAAAACGAGGGTAAAAATAGACACAAATATGCATATGATCTATGGCACTCATAATAATTGCCCAGAGAAATATGGTTTACTAGTAGTAAGTACTCATGCTTCTTTCAGAAGAAGAAAGATCTCAAAATATATTGCTTTCAATATTTTGTCCCACACAGTAATACATTCATGAATAAATCTCTAGATAACCATATAACACTCCTTTTTTTATATATATTTATTTTTTTATGGTGTTGAATGTTTAGTTCCCTCAAGCATTAGCTGTCTCTAACAAGCAGGTTGTGGTGGCTCTCTGTTTACCTTGTCAACAGTACTCATTTCTGTTATCACTCTTCTGGAAGAACAAAGTTTCTAGATATGCCTCAAAGGTGAACGTAATTACGCTGTTTACATTGTTATTCCTACAGGGATCATAAACCAGCACTTAGAATGATGTTTACAGTCATCAGCGAGGCAGAAATCACTCAGTACGTGTGAGAAAGGCAGCAAACAATGCCCCATCACCAGCTAATTACAAAGGGGACTGTGCTGTGCAGAGATCCCCTGCCTCACACGTGAGCTAGGTGTGGGTACATCAGTAGCCTGAAGCATTCAGCAATTAATCTGTCCATCAAAACAAAATTTCTCTGAGGTGTTTTCATTGGGGCCCTGCAGACAGCGTGACTTACCAGTTTCTAACCTGATATTCAAGGCAAAAAAAAAATTAATAAACCAAATATAATGATGTAAGCGTCAATGTACCAAAACCCCCACATCCTTCCTCTGTGCCAAACTTTCCTGGTTTTCTGCTAGGCTCAGCAGCAAAGTAAAGTGAAGCCCACAGAATATTTTCCTTTAACTTCAGAGTGGTTTGGGTCAGAAGTTTGCAGAGGGGCTCATGAAGAACAGCAATGAAGTGGAAATTCTGCTGCAGGGGAGTTCACACCAAGGGAGCACAGCTGCTCCTCCTACCCTGTGAGCTGCCTGTGAGATCACAGACACAGCAACACTTTTGAAAGTTACTTCTCTAAAATATACAAGAAATACTGATTTTAGACAGCTTAGCAATGATCATTCATGCTTTGCTTGAGACTAAAACTTCGATTTTTGCACAAAATCAGTTGTTTTCTTTATTTCCTGACTGCTGATCACCAGCAAACCTGTTCCATTCAACTGTGGTGTTATTTGATATTCACAATCTTCCTGCTGTAATCTGAAGTTTATCCTGGCTGACACTTTCCTTCCCTCATTTGGTGGTTTGGTAGTCAAACATCATTGCTGCTTGTGGGGGAAGAGCACCAGCTCCATTGCACATCCATGGCAACATCAGCCACACCAGTTCAAATTAATCAGCCAACATCATCAAACACCTAGCATAAAAACCCAAAAGCTATCATTTTGGAGGGAAGAAAAATAATAAAAGAAGTACAGCATATGAAAAGCATGGAGGATGCAGCAAAACCAATTTTTGTGGGAATCCTTGGACCTTGTCGACACAGCTCTGTTGTTTATGGAGGCAATTATGGCAGTGCAAACACACTGCTGAGAGAAAAGTGCAACTTTTGAAGTTAAACAGATGGAGGGTGCACCTCTGCCCAGGTTAACCTGGATAAAGGTCTGGGACAGTCATGATGTGCTGTTGGTCACCTGTGGGCTGCCCTGGAAATTCAGCATTGTCCTGGGGTGCCATGAAAGGACAGCAGGGCAACATTGCCACATTGGGGAATATAAACCACAGAATCATGGAGTGGGGTGGGCTGGAAGGACATTCCAGAGGTCACCCAGCCCAGATCCTGCCATGGGCAGGGATGCCTTCCATCAGACCAGGTTGCTCCCATCCAGGCTGTCCTTGAATCCAATAATTCACTGAAATTACTGTCCAGAGACCAAAAAGGGTTTTGAGAGGTTTTCAATAATTTGCCTTTTTTGTTTTTCCTTTTTATTCTGTGTAAGACTGAGAGCTGGTGAAGTCACAGAGCACATAACCATGGATGACAGGCAGGTCAGGGTTTCCACCAAGCTGTGAAGTTTGTTCTTAGCACAGCACTTCCAGCTGCAAAACACAGGCCAAACTCAGGGTCATTGCTGTCACATATATTTAAAAGGTGACAGTCATGAAAGAAAGGGCACAGAGTCCACCAGAGGTACAGTTCATACATTAGCAATTTCACAACCCATCTGT